GTTATTTCGTTAGTTTTCGTTAACGATAATAACCTTGGTACAAACAGACCTCAGCAAAAGTGCTTGGGGACTTCTTTTGATGCACTTTTTGTCTCCTTCTGTTTGTTTTGTCCCATTTGTTTTCATCCTTCTCCCCAAAAGGTTGTGACAGATGGCTGTCTCTCTCTGTTAAAACTGAGTTTTTCTTTCTCCCCATATGTGACTGTCATATCCTGGGGATCGACAAACACTGAACTGAAAATATATAATATCATAATATAAAGCACCGTGAGACAACAGTTGTCCTGAACTAGCAATATATAGAAAAAATTCAAGTGGAAAAAAATCCCTCAAAACATTTTGATAATTGTGATTACAAGCTGAACGTGGGTGACAAGTTTAAATAAAAAAAGTTAAACTGTGCTGGGTTATAATATGCCAACAGAACACTTTCAACGTTTCATGGGTTTGCACACATTTTGCCTAAAATTCCTGAGAACTGTAGTCCCGGGAGCTTTTTTAAAGGAACTTAAAGGTTCTCTCAGACTGCTGGTTGTCAATGTCGCCACACATCATCAGCGTACACCCGTTCTGTGCTTTCATCTGTAACTCAGTGTATGTGCTGAAGAACAATGAATTAAACATTGTTTTGTTTAAGGTTGGCTGTAATAAAATGATATCAGTATTTGATCAAAAATATTCAGGGCTGTCAATAAAAAAAAGGATTTCTCCAAAAACGGGACGGTGGTAGAGATAAAAGAAAAGAACTCAAAGATGAAAAATAGTAAAAATAGTAAAGGGCATGACTGATTGTCTGTGTCTCGGAAACTCTACTGGAGAGATGGAATACCTTATAAAAAGATATTCCCCTTTATCTGTTGCTTTTACGATGACGCGCGACCGCTGTCCACTACATGTTCAGCAGGGATGAGATCTGGAGATCGCAAATGCCACAGCAAACGACTCACATCATTTTCATTACATCACAGTAGAGACCAGGACAGAAATGCTTTATCACAGTATTAAGGTGAACACTCAGATCAACTTTATTGATTTGCAGTGACTCTTCACTCCAAGGAGACAAGTGAGCAAAAACCATTTGGAAAAATGATTCTCACAGCAATAACAGAGCCACTGCATAACCCTCATCGCAAGGGTCAAGGGCTCAGGTTTCTCTTTTAATTTGCCCCGCCCCCTGTCTACAGACAAGTAAATAATGGCGAGTTTCAAGGCAGTTTCACCTCCAGACTGCTCAGGTCGGACAGAGGCGGTACACTCACTAATTGTTTTTGCACACAGTCTGTCACTTAACAAAAGTGTTTTGAGACTGAGTAATTTCCACACAGACAACCTTCATCAGTCGGAGGAGGAGACTGAACAACCTGAACAATTTTTCTGTGTATGACTATTTGGTGTTCGTACCTAATTCAAATCTAAACAGCCTAAATGAATTCACACATTTCTGTACAAAGCTGCAGCGTGCCTTCTTCAGCTATAAATGCTGAATACATACAAACTGTCCTGCTAGCATACAGCCGATGGTTTAACTTGACAGTGCAATCAAAAGGGGCCAAAAGATTCAAGTTTCAAAGCCAACAATCATTTTAATGCAACAGTTCTAAATTTAGTTTTGGTCCCCTATCTTTTCTAATTGAAAGTGTAGTCAAGAAGCACTACAGGAAGAAATAAATGTATGAAACTAAACAGAATCAGCAACCCTGTCCCTGTGATTTGTCACAGTAACGCCCCACTGCTGTGTATACACCACGTTTAGCTCTCACTCTGAAAGCGCTTGTTGTGCTCATGTGAAAGCATTGCCCGTGTTGCTGAGTAACAGACAAGTGTCAAAGCCACCGAGGAAAGCTGGTGTGTGTGTGTGTGTGTGTGTGTGTGTGTGTGTGTCAGGGTCAAATTCCATCGTCAGACACCAGCCTGCGAGAGCTAATTATCAGCTGACATCTCAGGCTAAACAGATGAAGTCATGCTCTGAGCAACACAAGGAAAAATGTTCATATCTCCGAGGAGACATCAATGCTGGACCTGTGTGTGGTTTCACATGATCGGCACACAAAACTCTGACTGCAAACAGCAACGCAACCTGAATCATTCAGAGAGGCGAGCTCTTACAGGACGTCAAACAGATCGCTGTCCTGAAACAACAACGCTGGTCATTCTGCCTCCAGCAGTCACTGAGACATGATACCGTGAGCCTCCTGGGCTCAGATACTGCTTCCATTATTGCATGTGACACACACACACACACACAATCTTTGACAGTCTCCATGACAACCAGTCTGCAGCTCTACAGCTACTCTGAGTTCCCTTTTGTCTCCAAAGACTGGGGAGATAAGGGAAAAAGAGGAAGGAGGGCTAACTGGAGGCTGGAGGATACATAAATAAAACATGAGGGGAGAACTCTTCAACTCCCGAACCACAGACAATTTCACAGAGCAACACATGGAGATAGAACGAAGGGCAGGGTGGTCACACATAGTTTAAAAAGACACGCTCTAATTGGACAAATCCATTCACAGCAGTTCTCGCTGTGCAATGAAAAAAACCCCCAGAGATGCAAAGAATTACGTTACTGAGCTCGCTGAAACCCAACCTGTAACGGTTGGATCAATAAAAACAGCTCTCTTTCTCCTGACACACTTCAGCCATTATGGCAGCAAAGCTCACCGCACTGTGATCGCAATTATGCCGCGGCACACTCGAGCCAACGCAGGCTATTCGTACCCTTCGCTGTAAATACAAGCGCGGCCAGTTGCCACACATCAGCTACCAGAGGGGCCGTGGAGGTTAACGGTGGTTATTACAGCGGAGTTATTTGCATGCATCCATAGAGACCCTCGGTGTCGATTTGGCTGCCAGATATCGCATGTCTCCCTGAGCTGCTATGAATACTGTCGCAGCCAAGCCCAAGAGTGTTTCAAAAGAGGACTCACTCTGGAATTTCCGCAGGTTGATCAATCCATGGTCTCGGATTATCCTGAAAGAAACAAAGACATGGATGTAGACATTTATTTTCTGACTTCCGCTACACTTTGGCAAGTTAAAAATACAGTACATATCAACTATATGATCATTTTCAGGGCTGTAGTTTGGTGTGCTCGTGTCCATCACATTACATCATAATGAGGTTCTGCATTACAGCCCACAAACGACATTCTCCAAACTGATCCTAGAGCTGAATCAATCCTCTGTAAAGTAATCTGCAACAAAAACTGAGCATGCTGATCTTTGTGATGACGTCCAAGCTGCACTGTACCCAACAAACTGGACACTGAGTGCATCGACATTATGCATTAATACACTGAAGCTTTTAATAACAAGCAGAAATAACTTACCATGTTAATTAAATTAGGAACAATAACATTTACAATTACTTACAGAAAATGAATTCACTGACTTATAACAGTATAAAAGCAATAAATTTTTATACTTTTAAACATTCAGAAGATTCCTACTTTCACGTCTGAGTTTCACAGCATCTTTTTCAACCACATACAGAAACACTTTAAAACCAACAGCCCTGTTGATAAATGAAGGAGGAATATTTAGGATGCCTGGAAATTAAGCTCAAGGCTTTTCATGACTATTTAAAGGCCTGTTTTGAGGGGAATAAATTAAATGGCCTTTAGGCCCTCAAAACCTGCAATTATGCTAAAAAGTGTGCTTTGAGGTTCAGCTCAACTTCTGATCTTAAAAGCCTTTCTGACAAGCTACAAGTTAGCAGAGATAAAACCGGGTTTCAGGGACAGATGAGGGAGCTGTAAAACACTCATTCCCTCCTAGTCAGACATGCCATTCCAAGCGTGCTCAGGGAGCATGAAGTCATTAAAAGTTGATTTAGTGATGGATACGCCACAGCAACGCTTGTCCGTGTATGTCCAAGAATGACAGCTAATGTGTTAAAGGCAGATTAATATCCTTCGAAATCTTTAAAATTGACTTCAATTTCTTATTACATCTATCAGAATACAGAAAAATAGTCATTGTGATTTCCTGCAGCCCACAGTGACTTGAATTTGAGGGCTTTCCAGTACCTAATGATAACCACCAGTTGCCATTTTATTAGGTACAATGGGTTTTACTGTTTACTGTTTTAACTGCTGCTACATATGCAACGTTATCTATATTTTTCTACCCACCAAACTTAACTCAATAAATGTGAGATACATGCAACAGAACTGAGTATTACTGGGATTTACAGTGGACTGTGAGATGAGCGTGAGCTGGGGGTGTGATCCCGGTAGCCTCTATGATTAGCTACAAGTAAACTGTGCACAGTACATTTTCTATGAGCTTCAAAACATATTCCAAACTCTCCTCTGCTGAGAATGCTCTCCATGCCCGACTAAAACTGGGCAAAATGTCAAGCAGCTTGGCATGCACGTCGTTCACCGGGGGACAGACACATTTTCCCAATTTCCAAAAATATATTCAGGGTTTGAATAGAAGTTCCCGCAGCTTGTAAGTTGCACCTGAATGACTCCCTGCGGCTTGTAATGAGAGCCTGAAAAAGGCTTAAATATGCAATTATAATCACGCTGCTGACTTTGTGACAATCCCTCTCAGGATTCGTGTCTTTAAAAAGCTTTTAAGAAAATAATAAGGTTTAGTTTAGAAGTTATAAATGTATTAGCGTAATGAAATCATTAATATTTAAATGGTGTAGATAGGATGTTGGAATTGTTAGCCTTGTTAATTTTAATACAGTATGAAATGCATTTATTCAACCTGAAAGTATAATGAAGTATCTGTGGAAACTGATGCTCCACAATAAAGGCTTATGATGCCACCTGCTGACACACTGGAGTCATTACATTACATCGAATTAATTTTTTATCCCATAATAAATTAAAAGAGACCTACTTCTTCCTCCGTTGTCTCTCCTTTAATCTTGAATGATAAATATCAACAACTGCAAGCTTCAGTGCTGAAAAACAAGAACATGTGCGACACAGTTCATAGGTTTTGTAATGTAAATGCTGGGATTCACACTGTTGTTTAGTTGTCAATAAAACAAAATGTAACCCACCACGAAGGACGTCTGAATCATCATCCACAAAGTCAATATCTTTCAAATCCCATTCTGCATAGTTGTCAAACTCCTTTAACAGAATGGACACATAAGGGAAAAGGCTATCAATATTAAACAGCAAATCAAACAACAGGAAGATTCATAGACCTTTTACATATGCCCAGAACTTGGAGGAAAGCATCCCTACAGTAAAGGATGGTGGTGGCAGCGTCATGCTGTGGTTAAGTTTTCTGGCAGTAGGAACTGGGAGACTAATCCGGGATGAGGGAAAGATTAATGATAACCTGCTCCATAGCACTTGGAGCAGGTTATCATTAACACAATATGTGTTTTAAAGGCCAAAACAAAACAAATATAACACATTAAAAATTAATGTGGCGATCGTGGCTCAAGAGTTGGGAGTTTGCCTTGTAATCGGAAGGTTGCTGGTTCGAGCCCTGGCTTGGACAGTCTCGGTCGTTGTGTCCTTGGGCGAGACACTTCACCCGTTGCCTACTGGTGGTGGTCAGAGGGCCTGGTGGCGCCAGTGTCCGGCAGCCTCGCCTCTGTCAGTGCGCCCCAGGGTGGCTGTGGTGCCATCACCAGTGTGTGAATGTGTGTGTGAATGGGTGGATGACTGGATGTGTAAAGCGCTTTGGGGTCCTTAGGGACTAGTAAAAGCGCTATATAAATACAGGCCATTTACCATTTTTACCATTTAACTCATGTAACTTGTCACTTAAGTGCTTCATGAGCCACCTTTATCTTTTCCACACATACCTTTATTCTGTGCACTTTAGCACTACCATGCATCCAAACACACAATCAGCTACAGGACAAATGTGTTCCCTCACCTCCATGAAGTCGGCTCTGGCAGGCATGTATCCAGCCATGTCGCGAGACAGCACCGAGTCAAATGTGGGCCGAGGGGGATCGTCGCTCGCTGTGGCATCACAGAAAATTTAACAAGATAAAGCTTAAAAATGTAAAGATCAACAAAGAGCACCACCTCCAAATTTTGTGCATTTTATAGTCAGACGCGTAACAACAGTCTGTCTCTACTTTGAATTTGTCAAACGATGCAAGAATAAGACGTTAAAATGCTTGTGGAGCAGTCAACACTGTGACAGATGGAGACCTGAAGCCCGCCAGGAAATGAGACACGATCCTCAGTCACCAACTGCTTCTGCCCAACTGTCGGGCCGGTGGCTTTAAATTTTATATGTAAAACTTTCTTCTAGATGCCCTAAAGGCCCATAATGAAACCTGGAATAATATTTAATAAAACTAAATAATAAATAATAATAATAAACAATCAAACTGAATCTAAATACTTTTTAATAATGAAGTAAACATTGCGGGTCCTTACGTTTAAAAGGAATAGCGCCTTCTGCAACACGAGAGTCTTTTGCTTTCCGCAGGCTGAGCAGGGTGGAGGAGAAGAGTGGGTTATTGATGAAATTCTTCATGTAGTGGCTCTCACACTCCTCTTTGGTTTTAGTGCGCATCTGATACGCAACATCTTGCCTGATGAAGACAAGCAGGGAGAAGGAACAGATCAAAAATAACTGTAGGCTTTCATATGATACGTTTAGCCAACTAAGGCTATAGTTATGGCACTGTATGGTTCAAACACCTTTTTATGGGAGAAAAAAAAATGTTCTTCATTAGAAACTTCAACCATGTCCTAAAACCTCATCTTTGTTTTCAAGGCATCACCAAATCAAACATTTGAGTTTCAATCACCAGGCGTGTAAGTCAAACAATTAATATTTAACTTGTGATCAAGCAGAACAGTTTGTGAATGCAGTGGTGCAGAGTGGTGACACCAACTCAAGAGTTTCAACCTCCAAGCTACGAAACTCAGTGTGCTAAAAGAGCAGGAATTATAGGAAGAGGTCTCAGTCTTATGCAGGCTTGGCATAATTAGAAATCAGAATTGAACTAATGAATTACATTTTCTGTGAAAAACAGCAACTTCTTTATCATCAGAGTTTGAAAGCTGAGCAGAAACAGGAGGAAAAAATGAATTTGCAAGATACATGGATATGAACTTACAATGCATTACACAAAAAACAACTATACATTTCATCTACACCTTAATCTATTAATCAGCTGGCACATCGCTACCCTCTGGGAGAAGGAGGCCACCTCCTGATATTCTAGTTTTTCTACTAGTGAGCTTGAGTTCAAACATGGGTGACTGCACTGTGACCCTTGTTCAGCCTTTCCTCCTTCGTGTTTTTCTCTCCCTGTGCATGAAAGCGTGGAAAGGTTTTAACAGCTTCGAGCTGAGAGGCAACTTGATCTGTAGCAACCGTTAACAGACAGTTAACTCTACATGGGTCAACATTATAGCACTAGCCTGGAGCCAGCTCTATAATTGATATAAATTATAGTTTTATAATTTATTGTTTTAAACAACTAATAAAGGCCTGTGCTACAGTACTGTTTGGCCAATTCATGATGTTGAGAAACTGATAAACGTAATCACACTGAGAAAAGTAGATCATAAAATCAAATATGGCAACATCACCAAATTGTGACCCTTACAGTAACAATGTTACATCATTTGAGTTAAGCTTACAGTATTTCAAGATTATATCAAACATTTAATGTTTGATAAAAAACTGTTTAAATGTACTTAAGCAAATGGGATTTGAAGCCATAAATATGCAACTTAGGGCTGCTCAATTATGGCATAAATGATAATCACGATTATTTTCACTGAAATTAAGATCTTGATTATTTGACAATATTTATTTAACAATAACAATGTATTGAATAATGGCTTTAAAGATTGTCAAAAAATAATATAAAATAGTGTGCAAATACTGATAACAGTGCAAATGATTGCAATATAAAAAATAAATGAAAAATGTAAACATCTATGTTTAGTTGCTCTGTGGTGCAGCTACGACACCGTAGCAACGTTTACACACTATGTCTACTTGATCCACGTCTGACTCCACGAACCCATGTTTCCACACCACTGAAGTTGCTGAACTGCATTCTTTCTTCAGCAGCCATTATCCTCTCCTCTCCAAATAACTGGGTGTCCACATCACTCAGGACCTGTCATGGTCCTGCCACATCAACACCCAGGTTAAGAAAGCCCGTCAGCGTCTCTTCTTCCTCAGAAGACTTAGAGACTTCCATCTGCCACTGAAGGTGCTCAAGAACTTCTACTGCTGCACCATCGAGAGCGTCCTGACGGCAAACATCTGCACCTGGTTTGGGAACAGCACCAAGCAGGACAGACGAGATCTGCAAAGAGTGGTGCGCTCAGCCGAACGCATCATTCAATCAGAGCTCCCTGACCTGCTGTCCATCTACACCAAGCGGTGCAAGTCCAAAGCTAGGAAGATTATGATGGACCTTTCCCATCCCAACAATGGACTCTTCTCACTGTTGAGGTCTGGGAAGCGCTTCCGCTCCCTTAAGGCCAAAACAGAGAGAATGAGGAGGAGCTTCTTCCCCCAGGCTATTCGGGCCCTGAACCAGGTGTAGGACTGGACTCTCCCACACACATCACTATAAGACTGGACTCTCACACACATCACATCACCACACGCACCACCACACATTTCCTATAATTTCCTATAATTTATAATCTTTATAATCTCTCTCTGCTGTTTGCACATTTTTATTTATTTTTATTTTTACTGTAAATTCCTAAGTTAATTTGTAAATTTTGTAGTAAATTGTAAATACTGTAAAACTTTTTTCTGTCATTTAATGGTCGGGCATTGCGCAGCTACAAGCATTTCACCCCCATGTCATACTGTGTATGGTTGTGTGTGTGTGACAAATAAAATTTGAATTTGAATTTGAATTTGAATTTGAAACTTCTGCTTAGCTTTCTGAGCTTTCCTCGGGTCCTCTTAATTGTTGTGACGCCTGTGCGAAATGCAGAGAGGTGCGCTCGATTTGCCACACAGAGCAGCGTGAGAGTAAAGCGCAAGGGAGGTGCTTATAATCAGTCATTTTTAATGATCGTTGAAAACCCAGATCATAATTTAGATTAAAATTTGATTAATTGAGCAGCCCTAATGCAACTATTATGAAAAGTTATGTTCTAAAATCCTCATTTACTATACGGGTGTGCACTTGGTTGAACAAAACCTTGCATACCAGTTTTTATTTAAACACAGAAGAGGGGTGGACTGTGTCAGGCTGACAGGTGTAGTAATACAATTGTAGACAGTGGGCCATTAACCATACATAGATGTTACATTTTGCTCTATATAAATATACAATCAGTCCAATATTTATTTCCTATTTATTTACAAAAATAACATCCCATCCTAACATTTCTTTAAAACTTTTCTCAGTTTGATTAAGTACATCAGCCAGTCAACAGCATAAACAGGCCAACATGTACTGTCTGTTTTTAGGTGATTCCTAAGCAACATAACATTGTAACATCAGATATAGATAAGAACTTGCAGGTTTCTAAGTCACACCTATGTGCCAAGTTTGCTTGCTTAACTCCTGACTGTGTAGAAGTTTGCAGACAAAGAAGCAAACAAGAAATTCTCTGCAACATTTCGTTCATTTGTTATCTTTGTTACTGTCGGTAACAGCTGTTTAGAGCTTTTTTTATGCACAATGATCTGAAAAATTAGCTTAAAGAGATGCAATTGCCATTAAATGAAACATTTATGTTGGAAAATAGTTAGTGGTTATTTTTGCTGCCTGAGAGCAAGTAGAAGCTGTGTTCGAAGCCACAGGCCAAATAAGGCCTTTCTGTGTGGATTTTGCAATGTTCTCCCTGTGCCTTTGTTGATTTGTCTAGATACTCTAGACAAGATACTAGATACTCTGGCTTCCTCCTAAAGTCCAGAGACTGCTTTTTAGGTTAACTTGTTCTAAAGTGACAGTAGATGAATGTGAGTGTGCACAGTTATCTGTCTCTGTGTTAGTCCTGCCACAGACCAATCACCTGTTTAGCTTGTACCCCACCTCTGGAAACTGGACTGCATGCCATAATCTTAGCATTCAGGCTTTTTAAGAAATAAGGACATGTGTATGTAGTTTATGAGGAAATCTCACCAAACAACTAGAAAATACTAACCAATTTCCAAAGCCACAGTCCATGACGGCTTCAAGCAGGGCCATCTCTTCCTGGGCCGTCCACCCAGGCTCCAGCACGGGGAAATCTGACGTCTGCATAACGGGGTGAAAGATGAACATTGATGTTGAAAGACAGCCACACTGGATAAGATTTTATTTGTTTGTTTGTTTTTTATTTCACTCACCATGATTTCATATTTGTGATCACTCTGGTGCTTCTTGTACTCAAATCCTCTGGTGAAGCACTGAAGGGAAACAAAATGTTTAGTTTCAGTCGGACTGGGTTTGTCTGCAGGTAAATTTAACAATTTTTGTGACCGATTCACCTGGAGGCACAGCAGGAAAGGTGAGGGTCCACATTCTGCACATTTGATATAAGGCTCAGTCAGATACGATGAACAACCTCTGCATGGCGGTTTATCGGAGGGGTCATCTGAAATCACGTGATTTTAACACTTTAAGTCACCAGGTAGGGTTGTATAAGAAATCAGCTGACATTTCTTTACATGAAATAAGCTTACAATGTAAACAAGACTGCAGATTTCAATTTATTAGGCTTTACAGCGAGCTTTAAGCTAAACCACACATGCTAACTTTAAAGCGCCATGTATGATAATGTTTCATCACCGTTTGAAAAGCAGCTCAATAACAAAAGGCACTAAAGGCTGTTAAAGTAGTTAACACACCGTGTTAGCATCGCTGCACGCTAACGCTAATGTTAGCATAGCAGAGCTAGCTTAATATAGCTAACCTGAGATAATAACCCCAAAAATGATAGATGATAACACTTTATAGCTGAAGTGGATACGTGTATCTGTGACATATTACTAAAACTTACTTGCAAAAGATGCTAGGCGGTCCATAGGATTACGTTTAAATGAAACTTAATAACAGCTTCGACGTTTAGGTTCCATCTATTTTTCAAAGCTCGCAAGTGACCCTGATTGTGAAGGCACAGCTAATCGAGCTCAGATAGCCCAATACTCCCCTTAGATATTTTCTATAAGGAGGATCGATAACTAAGAAATGTACATGTAAAATAATTTGGTATTTATATTACGGCTAGATATATAGAGATTATAATAATCCCACATTGGGCAAATTTACTTGCTACAGCAGCACAAGGGTCAGAGACAAAATGTGAAGTAATTATATATTAGAAAACAATAAAAACAGAAAATAAAACAAGACTTGCAAAAAAGCTAATACTTTTAAAAATGCAAAAATCAATAAAATACAAGACTAAAACATTTTTGTAGAAAATATACTATATACACACACTAATATACACTAAAAGCCACATCACAGAGATTTAAAAACAAAACAAAATATATGTATAAAAAGTGCAGTGGGAATGATAATACATACACAAGTATGGTGGGCCGTCCTACACTGTGGCTAGAGGACTGGCCATGACAAAGCTGGCCCTCTTCATTAGAGTATTAAGTTGTTTCTGGTTCCTCTCTGTGCTGCCACCTCCCCAGCAGAAAACTGCATAAAACATTGCAATAGACCTCACCAGGTCATAAAAAGTCCTCAGTAATGTCCTGCACGATCCAAAAGACCCAGAAACCAACTTTGACCCTTCTTGTACATAGCTTTGGACCAGTAATCAAACCACTCCAATCTACTTTTAAGGTGAACCCCCAGATATTTGTAAGTGTCCGCCACCCTGATATCCAAACTATGGATGTTCACTGGTATGATAGGTGTTGGTTTTCTCCAGAAGTCAACCGCCATCTCCGTTGTCTTACCGGTGTTAATGTGCAGGTGATATACAACCACTTTAAGCTAGCGGTAGAGTGAAATGGAGGCAGATGATCTGCTGTGGTGACCCCTAAATAAAAGGAACAGCTGAAAAAAGAAGACTGATATATATTTATATAATCATGTTAATTATTTTAATTTTAATGTCACTTACCCCTTTATTTTTTTTATTTTCTTTGCAATGACCTACCCAAACTTACAATAACGATTATATTGTACTATATTTATTTTTGTATGTTTTTTTTTTTTTTCATATTTCTTGTGTTTCAGCATTTCAGCTTCAGTATTCAAAGGCACTGTCTGCTGTCTGGGTTGACCTTTCACCTGGCTGGCTCACAACACAACTATTAAAAAGGCAATCAAAATACATAAATAAACACATAAATATAACAATTATTAAATGTAGGAAAGGAAATTTAAACAAGAATATAAATAAATAGTTGAAATAATAATAATAATAATAATAATAATAATAATAATAATAATAAATGGTACAGGTAGAGACAAATTAAAGGTGAAATTTCTGTTAATGTTGCTGACAGCTCTTTATTGTTGTTTTTGCCATACATGTACAACAGTCCAAGAATAGTATGGAGTATAATAAATAATAATATCATATAAAATATAAAATCAAAACGTTTCACAGACACATGGAGATGATCTGTTTCACTTTTAATCTCTCACTTCTCTCACTGCAGTTTATTGACATAGCCCCAGACCTAGTCCCAGTGAAAAGCGCCTTTATTAAAAACTATATTAAATAAAATTACAGCATGTTAGCAGGCTGGACTTCTTCTGAAAGGACCCGTTTAGAAAAATGAAATAGTGTATGTATGTGATCTTTATTATTTTCGCCACTCTTCTGTCATTCTCCATCTTACCACAGGGTGCCGATCTTGGACTATTTCTCTAATGAAAACAATAAATGTCTTGCAAGTCTTTGTCTGCCTTTCTGTACACAGCACCACCTGAGCTTCATATAAGCAGCGTATATTATGCTGAATAATGGAAAGAAAGATCATAGATGTGGAACTTTATACGCAACATCACCATGCTGTTTTTTCTTGTCCCCCATAAAATTCTTCTACAAGTACTACTTGCCCTGAAAATGACTTTAAAACAGCTCATTCTGATGCAATAAATAGCTATGACTCCAGATATTTTCCAGGGTCTGTATCCAGCATTGGCCCCCTGAATCAAATATAAACCCCAGGAACTTAAGGTCGCCCCCTGTGATTGTGCGCTAAGGGACCTAGCAAAGCAAATATCTGAACATTGATGTGTAAAACTGTAACCTTGCATGCATCAAAACCACTAAAAGTACGGGGAAAAAAAAGAAATATTTTTGTGATTTGAGTAAAAGGACCCTCTGATTCAGTCCAGATGTGATGGAAGTAGCTTGGTAAAAAGAGGGCAGGCACTGGTGTAATGGTGTTAAACTAGGCCTATTGCTTTACACCTTAATTGCCACTCATGATATTTACAAAGAAATGTAATCCATTTCACATTTTCATAGTTTTCTGCTTGATTTCAATAGATTTAATGGTGTGCTTTATATAATTTGCTAAAGCCCAAAATTCATAAACAGGATCTTGTGTGGCTGTGAACGTGCACATTGGGTTAAATCTGTGTACTCTGCTTTCCTCCTGTTAGCCTGCGCTATGTCCATGAGGACGATCCACAGTGACAAGTGCGTTCAGTTGCAGCATACTCTGCGTCCCATCTCCTGACCCTCTGGGGCTGCACCAGACCTCTGGGGAGTAACTCAGACAGCACACGAGTCCAGAGCAATGCAGATCCACTGGTAATGACAAAGTGGCTATCCGACAGACTGTGCATAATAGAGGGACAGTTGCACTCTCCCCCTCATTGGAATTTCCAGCTTCCTGCCAGAGCAGAGTTTATTTAACAGTCCTGTGAGAACGTTATGATTTATTTATCTTTGAAAGAGGAACTCTTCATTTCTGGGTGACAGTTTGGAGTACAAATGGAATATGGATGTGTGTAAACTCATAACGGCCACCTTTAAAAAGAAAAAACCTTTTCTTCCTGCCGGATGTACACTATCTGATCAAATGTTTTATGGGCATACAAACACAAATCTCACATTAAACAAAGTACAATGAGATTAGTGCGTGTACATAAGTGAAATTTACAAGGCAAAAGATCAGTCTGAGAACGTTTTTTCTCCTCTGTGATTTGTGTGACATCAGTGATATGGATGTCCTTGAGCATTTTTACAATCACCCTATGATTCGGTAGCAACAACAAGTTGAAGTGATTGTTTTCTGTATGACTTTATCAGTGGAGGAACTCTGGCTCACTCTTCTTCACAAAGTTCCTGGAGTTCATTGTTGTTTGTGAGCATTCGGTTACACGTAGCTCTCTTAAGGTCCCACCACACTGCAATCAGGTTGAGGTCTGATTATTTTCTTTCTTCAGACATTCTGCTGTAGATTTGCTGCTGTGCTTGGGATCATTGTCCTGTTACATGATATAATTTCAGCCAACCTTTAGCTGTCACGTAGATGGCCTCACATTTGACTCTAGAATACTAAGGTATACAGAGGAGTTCATGGTCGACTCAATGATTGCAAGGTTCGTTGGCTATAAAACAAGCTCAAATCAGCACCCTTCCACAACTGTGCTTGATAGTTGGTATTAGACGGTTGTTCCAATATGCTGTGTTTTGATTTGCCAAATATGATGCTGTGCAGTGTGATGAATGTCTCCACTTTGGTCTCATCTGTTCAAACGATATTGTTCCAGAAATACTATGATTTGTTCAGATGCAACTTTGTTCCTGAAATTTTCTTTTTACAGAGAAGAGGCTTTCTCTTGGCAGTCCTTTCAAACAAGCAAACAAGCTATTTAACATTTGACATCTTGACTGAGGTGTACAAAGGCTCAGATGGAGTTCTTGGGTTGGAAGTTGCTGAGATGTCCGCTCCTTAGGAAGATTGTAGAACTGTGATAACATAAACCTGAATGCTCCAGATGAGGAAACTGAAAAACTTCTGCTTTTATAGAGGTGCTCACACTTGCTAATGATCAGTTAATTAAGTGCATTTATTTGATTAAGCACCTGACTGCTACTTACTCTTAATTTCAATGGAAGCAGCAAGTGTTCACTTGGTTTTCCTCAGTACTTCATATATTAAGGACATACTGTTCAAACCTTGGGGCAGGCTGCCTAAAAGGGAGAGGGCACCTTGTTTTTGTCAGAGGTTGAACTGAGAGGCTGGAACAGGGCCCAGTGTGTAATAAGGATTGTTTTGAAATGAGAATCATGCAAAGCTGATTTTTGGATATAACATTTCAGAATTAGTAAAAATTATTATAAAAGAATTTCAGTGATTAAAAAGAAAACAATTGCAGAACTCCAGATAACATCAGGAAAATGAAAAAAATTAATATGGTAGGATCAGGAAGTACTATTGGAATATTTTCAAATTAGATTGTAGATCAGTTTTTCCTCTGTATGAGGTCAGCAACTGATGCTCATACTTCCCCCAAAGGTATTGGATGGGGTTTAGGATGGTCAAGATCTTCCACAAAAATGAAAAGAAAAAGCTTGATAGACTTTTCCATAAAGATTTGCTCAAGGTATCTGAAATAAGACCCTTCATCTAACACTTCAAACTAATTTGTAGAAAATACGGTTGTCTAAATTATTATTGCATTATGTAGCATTGGTGGCAGAGTGACCCATCTACCGATTGGAAAGCTGGCGGTTTGACTTCAGTATTCTAGAGTGAAAAGATCGACTCCTCTTAACTTCTCCAGTCTCCAGTCCGAGTATTCTTGGACAAGCAACTGAAGCTTGAGTTTCCCCTGAATGCATCTGTTGGAGTGTGTGAATGTATGTGACTGGGTGAATAAGACATGCTTTGAGGGCTTTGAGTGCTCAACTGAGTAGAAAGGTGTATATAACTACCAGCAACTCAGGATCCCACAGATGGTAATGAATGCATAAAGATAAGAATATAAAAATATAAATATTCTGAAGCTGGCATTTCCTGCAGCCCAGTTTATGAGGACAGTGCTGTAGCCTCCATATGAATTTAATTAAGCAAAACTCTCACTGGAAGCCAGTTTCATATGCCAGGGTCAGCATATGTGAGAGCATACTGTATAAAATCACATCTTGGCAGAATCCATTATCCACATGGAGGCTAACAAAGAAAATA